CATTTCTGGTGGGTGTGTCCCAATACACAACACCACTGGACAGCAACGTCCCTCAAATGCCACCTCAAATACCCACTTATGGCTAACCACTTTCTTTGATGTTATTGGAGATCGCCTTCCTGATGCCACCATCCACTTACCTATTTCTTTGACTTGGCAAGAAGTGCACTCTATGTGTGCCAATGCTCATCCCTCAACTGTTCCTGTGCTCACCTATTCTGCTATGCTCAAACACATTGCTTCCCACTTTGCCTATGTGAAGTTGCCTAAGAACTCACGCCTTGGCAAGTGCTCTGCTTGCATTGACTTTGCACAGCAACCTTGAGAGCCAAAAGCCCTCTTGAGGCAGCACAGTTTGCAAGTGCATGGACTCACCACCTTGCACTTTCTTCTGCAGAATGCCTCAGTTACAAGGACCAATGCCACCAAGCAACAAGTCGACCAAGTCTTTACATGAGCCTGATCATTGACTACTCCAACCCACTCCCTCTCCCCACCCACACTCCTGTGCCAAAGGCCTGGATGCACTTTGGCAACTGGTTCACCATGGTTCTTGGTGGTCTCATTGACCACAGCCATGGCAAACACCTCTTTCTACACCCTCAGCCCTTTTGGCCAAAAGATGCTAACCTTGTCATCTCCACACTCTTTCACCACATCCAAACTCACATTTTGACTAACACTGCCTCCAACACTCGCCCTTCTATCCTCTACCTGCAGGCTGACAATTGTGCTGCTGAGAACAAGAATGTCTTCATGCTTGCCTTCCTCAGTCTCCTGGTCAGCCTGGATATGTTCCAAGAGGTCTACCTGAGCTTTCTGTTGGTTGGGCATACACATGAAGACATTGACCAGCTCTTCTCCACTGCTCAGACAAAGTTCCATACCTCTTCCATTCACACCCCAAGGTAATGGTCATCACTCTTTTTCTGTGTTGATTGTTTTCCCAATGTGCATCAGGTTTTTTATTTGTCAACTCATTACCCTGATGCACATTGGTTTTTTCTGTCAGCATTAATGATTGCCCCTTTTTGTTCACCTTCCTAACTTCATCTTCAAATTTCAGTCAACTTTCTGGTTTTCTTGAGCAGGCTTACCAATCCACCGGCCCAGCTCCTTCCCTGCACACCCTTGAAACTGTTTGGGACTGGAAGAGCTGGCTTGGAAATCACATGCATGGCCTGACTGGTCACTCCACCCCCCATGTTTTCCATTTTTTCTGTGATGCTTCAGGCAAACCAGTGATCTGGGACAAAGCCTACCACACACAAGGAGCCTACTCTGAGCCATACCAGCTTCTCACATCCATTCCAACTGGTTTGCTCCTCACTATGTTGCACACACCCTACCAAAAGATATCACAACTTACACAAACCACATCAGGAGCACCTTTCACTATCCCACCTCAGCAATTTCCACCTGAAGTGCTTACTGAGTTGGCTGACAACTGCCGTGCTCCACTGTTCCTTGAGTCTGAGCTTAGTGAGTGGGCTGATATCTTTGAAGCACATGAGGCTCTTGTTTCAAGCTCCCAACCCACCTGCAATAACTTGATTTTTGATGGACTCACAGCTCACCCCATCACTAATCCTCTCCTTGATGGTCCATTGTTCTGTCTCCAAACCAGGGTCAAAGTTGTCCACACATGGACTACACCCCAAGTCCAACGTTTCAACTTTGCTCCTGGTCAGTGGGTTGCTGTCCAGGCTGATGCTGATGAAGACACTCAGGACTTTTGGATATGCAAGATCATCAGCATTCTCCATAAGAGGCTCCATGTCCACTGGTGGAACTTCACTAATGGACACTGGACTGACCATGGCTCAGAAAGCACTGTTCCAATGGGGTCTGTTTTAGCTTGTGGCTTTGACTTTAACACCAACACTGGAGTTCCCCCACCCTTCAAGAAATATTTAGACACCTGTAAATAAAACTTCTCTTCTCTGTGTACATTCAAATTCCACAGTGTTTTTATCTCATGTACACCTGTTTTTAGTTTCATTAAAAAGTACCACTATCACCTTTTTCTGGACACAGTGTTAGATGACAAGAGGACTGAAGGAGGCATACCAAATACTCAGTGAGCATCATCCAATCTGTTGTTGTATGTGATCCCCACTGTTTGCTGTAGAGTGGCTTCAGCCCTTGCTGGTAGTGATTGAAGGCTTTCTCAAAAGTGTTGACAGTGACCGCGCCAGCAGAATTGATGTGGTTATCAAAGCCAGATATGTGGTCCAGGATGATCCAACTAAGCTCCATGTTGTTGATGGTCATTGGAACTTTGTAGATGCTGTTCCAGTTCCAGTGCTCCAGAAGGTTACACACAATGATGCGGTGATTGCAGTACACAGCCTCTGGAAACAATAAACAGGTATGCTGTGAGATTCACTTTCAAGTTCAATCAGTGAAGTGTAAGCTTGTACCAAACTCTTCCTCATTTGTTCTATCCATTCACTCATCCTCAAGAAGGAAGCAGACAATGAAGGGCTTGGTGGTGAGGAAACCACCATCAACAAACACCAGTGACAGTGACTGGGTGATGATGCTCTGGAAGAGGGAGATGAGTGGACGCTTTTTAAAGTGTGACATGGGAAATAGAGGGTGCTGTACCAAAGAAAGTGCAATTATGAACATCCACAGCACACTTTGAAAGCTGAACCCAGAGCTGATGGAGTGTTGCTGGATCAATGTGGTTGAGTAGTGCTTTCTGCTCATGGATTGTGGCATCATCACAAGTGTCCTGTAGTGATTCTGTTATGATGGCTGGATTCTGCTGCAGTGAGTGGTAGTTGGGGAGTGATCTGATTTTCTTTTCTGTTGGAGAGAAAAAGAAGTGAGCAAATGGTCCTGAACGCCTGATGTGCATTGGGAACTGTTGACAAATAAAACTCCCAATGTGCATTGGGAACCATTGACAAATAAAACTCCCAATGGTTGACAAATAAAGTTCCCAATGTGCATTGGGAACTGTTGACAAATAAAACTCCCAATGTGCATTGGGAACTGTCAACATATAAAGTTCCTGATGCGCATTGGGAACTTTATTTGTCAACTTGATGAACATGAAATGCTGAAATGATGTACATACCCAACTCACTGTCTGACAGACCAAGTAACTTCATGACAAGGTGATGTTGCTGCTTGGTGTTGCCCTTCTCATATTCACAAACTGTTGGCTCACTATGTGGCTGAGCAAGCAGCTCTTCCTCAATAAGGTTGATTGTTATGTGCTGCTGTTTCTTCTGCTGCTCCTCCTCCTCTTCCACCTCAACCTGCTCCTCCTCTTCCTCCTCACTCTTGATCTTATGCTTCCCCTTTGCATGCTGGAATTCCTCTTTCTCCTGGGAAGCCTCCTCCTTGCTCCTCTCCTCCTCCACCATCTCCCTCTGCCTATCCTCCCCCATCGCCTCACCCTCATCGCTCCTCTCCTCATTGCTCTGCTCCTCTCCTCATTGCTCCACTCCTCTCCTCATTGCTCCACTCCTCTCCTCATTGCTCCGCTCCTCCTCGCTCCTCCCCTCCTTGCTCCTCCCCTCCTCACTCCTCCCCTCCTCACTCATCCCCTCTCTAGTCTCTTCACCCTGTCCGCCTTTTTCTGCGTCCTTCTCAACCTGCTCCCCAGCTCCTTGAGGTGTTGCAGTGATTATCCTTGGTGACAGCACAAGTGTTCATGGAAGCAAGTGCTGCAAGGGAGTGAAGACTGGTGAGCTTTTCATCAGAAGACATGGTGCTAAAATTCAGAACTTGTGAAGTATGATGACAACTCATCTTAAGAGAGGATAGGATGTTGTTGAGTGGTGTGTGTATGACAAGAAGGAATGATAATAATAAACAACTCCAGATTTATGGAGACTACAAAAAATTGTGATTGGCTGTTGGTGACATGTGTTCTGGAATGTGTTGACAAATACCAGTACTTAACCAAACATGATTGGAGTTTTATATGTTGACAGTTCCTGATGTGCATCAGGAGTTTTATTTGTTGACAGTTCCCAATGTGCATTGGGAGTTTTATTTGTTGACAGTTCCTGATGTGCATTGGGAGTTTTTTTTGTCGACAGTTCCTGATGTGCATTGGGAGTTTTTTTGTTGACAGTTCCCAATGCACATCAGGAGTTTTATTTGTCGCCAACTATACCTCTTACATTCCTTGCAAACATTACTAAAACACAGGAATTGCTTGTGTCTGTTATAGCTGTTGCTTTTCTGATTCAGTTTAAAAGCACAGTTTGTGACCATTGTTTCTTATCCTCATCATGGACAACACATCTATCACAACACCACACCATCTTGAAGAGGACCTGGCATCCTCTATTCTTGACTCTCTCTTTGCACAGTCGCTTCAGCCTGTTCCTCACACCCCAAGGAAATGACTACTGTGCACTGTGGAGCAATGCACTCCAAAGAAGCGCAGGACCCTGGTTTGCATTGCTGCAATTCCCTTTGCCTCTCTCACTTCACCTCTGATAAACTGATGGCCATTTCTGCCCCCTATGCAGAGATGAAGGAGTGTGAGAGAACTCAATTCTTGATCAACACAATGTCTGTCACCTGCACTTCCTTGGTACCCTTATGCTGCTTCAAGTTGTGACTTGATGGCTTGCCTGTCTGCCTCACTGCTTTCTGGAAGGTGCAGCACCCTTCCTCCTATTAATTTCCATTTTACTCAAGGATACTGCCAAACCAACCTCATAGGCTCATGGCTTCAGTCGCACCAAGTGGTGTTCTGCTCTTCAGGTGTTCATTGCTGGTGGCTGGGTACCTATTCATGACACCTGCAGCTGCAGAAAGCCATCTAATGCTACCACCAACACACACCTGTGGCTTGCCACATTTTTTGATGTCATTGGTGATTGCTTGCCTGATGGAACTATCCACTTACCCATCTCTCTCACATGGTGTGAGGTCCATTCTATGTGTTTCAATGCCCACCCATCTGATGTTCCAATTCTCACCTACTCATCCATGATCACTCACATTCACACACTCTTCCCACATGTCAAGCTTCCCAAACATTCTTGCTTGGGCAAGTGCTCTGTGTGCATCAAGTTTGCACAGCAGCGCCTCTGAGCCAAGAGCCCTCTGGAGGCATCCCAGTTTGCACAGGCAAGAGCTCACCATCTCTCCTTGTCCACTGCAGAGAGGCTCAGTTACAAGGAATGCTGCCATCATGCAAAGAGCTGGCCCAGCCACTACATGAGCCTGATCATTGATTACTCCAACCCCCTTCCATTGCCCACCCATTACCCTGTTCCTAAGGCGTGGATGCACTATGGCAACAGGTTCATGATGGTGCTAGGTGGTTTGATTGATCATGCCCAGGGCAAACACCTTTTCCTCCACCCCCAACCTTTTTGGCCCAAGGATGCTAACCTTGTCATCTCAACACTCTTTCAGCACATTCAGAGATGCATTCTAAGCTGCACAATGCCTCACTCATGGCCATCAACCCTCTACCTGCAGGCTGACAACTGTGCTGGTGAGAACAAAAATGTCTACATGCTAACATTTCTCTCTCTCCTCATCAGCTTGGACATGTTTCAGGAGATCTACTTGAGCTTCCTTCTTGTTGGACACACTCATGAGGATATCAATCAGCTTTTCTCGACCATGCAGACAAAATTCAACACTGCCACCATCCACACCCCTGGGTATGCACTGCCTCTTGCTGTTTGTGGACCTCCTTGATGCTCTGTTCTTATTTGTTGACAGTTCCCAATGCGCATTGGGAGTTTTATTTGTTGACATTTCCTGATGCACATTGGGAACTTTACCTCTCCCACCATTGCTCACATCCCCACCCACCAACAGAAAACTACCGCCTTTTCTGCAGCATGCCTACCAAACAACTGCCCCTTCTCCTGAACTTCATCAACTCACAACCATGTGGGATTGGAAGAGCTGGCTCACCAACCACATGCATGGGCTTACTGGTCACTCTGAACCTCACATTTTTCATTTCTTCTGTGATTCCACAGGAAAGTCAGTAATCAGAGACAAGGCATACCACACACAAGGGGAGTGGTCAGAGCCATACCAACTCCTCACCTCCATTCCACAAGGTGCACACCATCCTTTCACCTGTGCCACAATGGCTGCACTGAGCTTTTCCTCCACACCAGGCGCTCCATACCTCATCCCCCCACAACCATTTCCACCTGAAGTCATCACTGACTTCACTGACAACTGTGATGCACCTCTCTTCCTTGAGTCTGAACTCAATGAATGGGCAGACATCTTTGAAGCCCATGCAGCCTTGACTGCCTCTTCCCACCCTACCTGTGATTCCTCTATTTTTTAATGGCCTCTCTGCTCACCCTCTGACTAATCCTCTGTTGGACAGCCCTCTCTTCCGCCTACAGACTTGGGTCAGAGTTGTTCAGTCTTGCACTTCATCTGATGCCCAACACTTCAACTTTGCCCCTGGGCTTTGGGTAGCTGTCCATGCTGACTCAGATGAGGTGACAGAGGACTTTTGGATTGCAAAGATCATCACAGTGCAGCACAAGAGGCTCAACATCCACTGGTGGAACTTCACCAATGGTCACTGGGCTGACCATGGCACTGAAGGCAGTGTGCCCATTGGCTCTGTTCTTGCTTGTGGCTTCTCATTCCACCCCAACTCTGGTGTCCCCACCACCACACTCAAAGAGATCTTCCAGCACCTGTAATACACTTCTTCTCTTCTTAACATGTACACCCCAGCACACACCTCCTACCTCTCTATGTACACCACTTTTTCCATTTCATGAAAAAGTGAGGAGATCTTTATTTTGTAAATACACATATCCACACATACATACAAATGTCATGTGTACATTTTTGAAAAATGAAAAAGTACCACTTGTTACTTTTAAATTACATGCAAGTTTCATTTCACAACTTTATGGGTGAGTTTGAAATTGCACTGTCACTTTTTAATGAGCACTCCATTTAGAGCTCTTTTCACTGGATTCCACTGTCATCTTGACTTATTCCAGCACAGTTTCTGGAAGAACATTTATCCTGCTTTAGCAATTAGCATGCTCAGTGGCATCAAGAGCTTCCACTGGTGGACGAGCCCTTCTCCTCATCAGCTCTATGCTTGGACCACCTCCTACAAGACTGGTGACCCTGACAAGGTCCATAACCTTGGTTGCCAGCACGCCAACGGGTTCGCCTTCTGGGCCTCTCAGGGCGACATGGGGTCGAACAGCACGTCAGAGTCGAACAGCACGTGGGAGTACTCCTGCTCGGTGACCATCAACTTCAACGGCGACAGCAGGACCTACATGGTCAGCCCAGTTAAGCTTGAAGCGATCAACTACGTCACTGTCATCAGGATGTCCAATAAAACTCGTATAACACGTGCGGAGGCACATGAGGGCGAAGAGATGGTGATGGCCTACGGCAACAGCACCGCCCCGCACGACGAGCTGTCCTCCGGCACCTTCGAGACCTGCGCCCCTCTCTTTAACTGATAGTGAAGAAGAAGAGGAGGAGCTCGACATGTCTGTGCCCAGGCGTCCTCGATTTAAAACAACAAAATAATAATAATAAGTAATTATAATGAAATAAACAAAAGAAGCCAAGCTCCGGTGGTGTCCAAAAAAGGAAGCGAGTGAAGTGAAACGCGGCAGCAGGCGTTTCTTTTGAACGGAAAGAAAAGACCCTCTGACACCAGAAGAGCGCAAACAAAAAGTAAATACTTAGTCCTCGGTCCTGCCGACGGCAACGGAGAAAACGGGATGAGGCCGCCTCCTTTCGTTCCATCTGGCCGATGGCAAGGGCTTCTGGTCTCCCTCTTGGCGCTGTTTGCTCTCAGCAGCAGCAGCAGCATGATGCTGATGACGATGTTACCTCAAGCGGCGGCCGACGACTACACCGTCACCATCACCAAGGTGCAGCTTACCTATTGGTGTCAACAGTACAGGCTGCCCTTCTCTTTTCCTTTCTTCCTTTTTGTCTGTGTTGTTTGAGTGCGGAAGGGGGGGGTACCTATACATCCATCCATCCATCCATACATACATACTTAAATAGCAAAGCTGTCTGATTCTTTCTTGCCACCCGGGCGGCGCGGCAGCTTGGACTGGAATGATGGGGAAGAAGAGTGGGCGTGGAACGTCATCGTCGACGGAAAGAGCATGTGCGTGACGGGCAACAGCGACAACAACCTGCCGTGGGAGCAAGCGCTCCAGTGGGAGGCCGACTTCACGACTCAGAGCTCGCAGCTGACGATCAAGATCGACGCCTGGGAGAAAGACGCCGACGGCGCGATTTGCACCTGGGCCCACGGCGACGATCCGTCGCAGCGCGTGCAGGACGAGTTCACCTTCCCCGCGATGAGCACGGGCCAAACACAGACCTGGTCCAGGACCATGACCTTCCAAAACAGGGACAGCATGCCGTGGGACGGATACTGCAGCACCACGATCGAAGGCAGAGTGACCAAGATCGCATCCAGCACTGTGTCGGTAACGCCCCCGCTCGCGCGAGTCTCCTTCTTTGCCCCCCTCCACTTCCTTCTTTTTTCACGTGTTGATAGTGGCTGGGCTTGCCTTCTTCCTCCTCCTCACCGTGTGTGTGTGTGTGTGTGTGTGTGTGTGTGTGTGTGTGTGGGCCTCTGGTGTTTGTGTGCGGCGGCGGGAGTGCAGGAGGCAGCGCCGCGGATCATGGGAACACAGATCACCCTGGTCAACAACGTGCCGAAGCTGCGCATCACCGGCAGGGACCTCCACCCGGACCCGCAGGAGCTGCCCGTGGTGCAGATCACCGGTGGTGGTGGTGGTGGTGATGGTGGTGGCAGCACTGCGTGCATCGCCAACTCTATCCAAGCCTCCGGTACCACGACCAACAACCAAAAGCCAACGAACACACACACACACTCTCTCTCTCTCTCTCTCTAAAACAGTTCAACCCTGTGTTGTGGGTTGTGTGGTGCGTGGTGTGGTGGTGTGGTGGGGGTTTGGGGGCTACAGCGGTGGAGATCACATGTAACTTGGTCAAGCCCGAGTCGGCCATGGTGAGCTCTCTCGACCTGCAGGTGCAGGTGGAGACCCGGTTCGGCCTGTCGCGCACGGCCCCTACGAGCTTCGCAAAGTGCGGGCAGGAGTGCCTGCATGGCGGCGCCTGCTGGTGGTCGAAGGACATCTCCAACGTCGAGTGCGTGTGCCCCGAGCTCGCTTACGGAGAGTGGTGCGAAAACGGTTCGCGCCCCTCCCCCCCGCCGTCGCCGCCCACCCCAGACCATCAACACCCATCAACTCACTCTTACGTTCTCTTTCGTTGGTTGAATAATAATAATAATACTACTACTAATAATAATAATGAATTACGTACTGTGCGTGTGTTGGTGAGCAGAGTATGGTGACGATGAGCCGATTCTGCGGTCCACGGCGCCGCTGGGAGGTGACCACACGCGCGAGACGGAGACGGTGATCGCCCTCGTGGGCCTTGTGATCCCCCGGGCCAACTTGTCCATGATGGCCAAATGCGTGATCTCGCACGCCACCACTGTCGAGTACGTCCTCGGCTCCCTCTCCGTCATCGCATCGTTTTCCACCACCACCACCACCAACACCACCACCACCACCACCAACACCACAGGACGGGAAACATGAATCAAGATACCGACGTATGGGAGGGTAAGGTGACGCCCTATGACGGCCGATTTGTGGCCCAGTCGGACTCGCTCACCATCTCTGGCCTGTGCATCATGCCCGCCCACCACCTGGCGGACTACGTGCGCGCCAATGGAACCAAGATCATCGGGTCGCAACTCACGGTGGCCGTCTGGTGGAAGTCCAACCCTGGTGCTGGGAACCGGTCAATTGAGTCCAAGGTCAAGGGCACCTTCGCGCTTTACGGGCCGCTCGACATGGCGAGCTCGATCGTGAAGGCCGTTGGCAACGAAGCCGACGGAGGCGAGATGCGGGTGCTGCGCGAGCAGAGCGTGCGCGTGAGCCTGTGCGACGCGGACGGGAACAACCGGGTGGGCGGCGAGGACGCCGACCTGTTCTTCCTCGACTTTTTCGACGGCCCTTCTCGCCAGCCCCAGGTTTGCCTCGCCCACGCCTTCTTCTCTGTTCTCTCCAACGGCTGCCCCCCGCGGGGGGACCAGTCGGAAAACCTGAATATGTACAAATGACTGACTGACTGACACGACACACACACACACACACACACACACACACACACACACACACACACACACACACACACACACACACACACACACACACACACACACACGATACACCCGACACGACACAACATTCAACACATGATATGATATGATGTGATTTTATAAATAGGTGGGAGTGAACGGAGGCGTGGCCAAGCAGTTCAGATTCTCAGCGTGCCGAGCAAAGAGCGAGCGCGACCCGACATGCGCCTATTACGAGTTGCCCGTGTCGTTCGACTTTGCCGGCACCTACCTGGCCCACGTGGTGGCCTTCGACGGCGCGGCCACCCAGCTCGTGCAGCTCACTCAAACGGGGCTGGCGTTCGAGGTCAAGGGCCTGGGCGACATGACGCTGCCGGTGCGGTCCATGTTGCCGTCGAGCATCTCGTGGGCCGACAGTCTGCGCGATCGCGATGCTGCGCTTCCTCTCTTTGACAAGAACCTCGCCCAAACGGTCATTCCTTTTCCCGCCGCCGCCGCCGCAGCCGCCGCCGCAGCGTCCCCTTACCTTCTCTGAACCACCCCCACCCAACCGTTGCTCACACCACGGTGACCACACAACAGGTGTCGCCCAACACGGGAGCGGCGGACAGGTTGGGCGTGCTCGAGGCCCTGCTCGAGAACATCCAGGGTCGGTGGTTCAGCCAGCGGCAGACGGTGAGCGTGGCCTTCGAGAGCGGGCCGTCGGAGGTGTCCATGGG